CTTCAGCTTCTATCTTTGTTCTTTTTGAATCGTTCGCTTTTCTTTCTCTCTGTATCTCTTTTCTCTCTCTCCCTCTCTCTCTCTCTAGCTAGCTATCTACCTGTATATGATATATTATATATCAGCTTGTTCTGCTAGCATCTATGACAAATACGACATATGCATCTACGATCTCCTATGACAAATAGTGTCATAGGAGAGCGTATATGCGTGTGTCGTGTTTGTCATAGATGCAAGCAGAACATGTTGAGTATATATATATATATATATATATACAGATAGGTAGATATATCGCATCTTTGCAGCTCTCCCGGTGGAGCATGAACTTTGTAACAAGCTTAACTAAAATCTAGCAGAACTGCCCTAACTATAATCCCAATCGCCAAACCAGGCTGTAGCACTAACCTTCCTCTAAACCTAACCTAACATAACCTTTATAACTGCTCTCGTGGTCTCTGCGCTGGATATGCGTAGACGTAGAAAGGCGACGCGCGGAGGGGTCGAATAGCGGTTTGTTCACGGGTGTATTTTCCGTTACGGTTAAGGTATTAAGGTTAAGGTTAAGGTTAAGGTTAAGGTTAAGGTTAAGGTATGCACTCGCCGCGCCACGCGAGACAAGATGCGTTTTCCACGCGCATTGATTCAGAACCATAATTTCAGTTAGGCACACGGGCGATAGACGATGTATGAACTTATCGCACATTACTCCTCACATTGTGTCTATATACTCGCTTCGTAGCACCGAACATCGCACGCCGTTAATCTGTAATTTCTCAGTACAGAAACAAAACTTTCACTTCGGCGTCTATATAATTATAAGACGCGCGGCCACGTTTTCGCGCGTTCTGGGACTAGTCTACCACGCGCTGTTGTTTACGTTAGCTTGTTAGGCGCGGTGAGATGGCTCGATGACGACATATAGCGAACCTGTACAGTAAGTGTGGAAGCCTGTACGTGTATGTCGCGCGGAATACACGTACAGTGCGGTCACCTCTTCCACCTTCTCCTGATTCACTACCAGCCATCGTAATTACGCCGTTGTACAGGGCAACCGGCAGTCAGTTATAGGCATGAAATTTTAAACAGCTCGTGGGCGCCTATATATCACCGCTGCAGCAAATCTGCTTGGTTCTCTGTCTGTCTCGCGCTAGCTCTCCCGTTCTCTCTGTCTCTCCCCCTCTCTCTCTGTTGCTTTCTCTCTATCTCTCTCTTTATTATTTTTTTCGTTCTTTCTTTCTTTCTTTCTCTCTCTCGCTCTCTTTCTCTCTCTCTCACTCTAACTTTTCCTCTTTCTCTTGCCCCACCCTCTTTTACGCTCTCTCTCTCTCTCTCTCTCTCTCTCTCTCTCTCTCACACACACACACACACACACACACACACACACACACACACACACACACACACACACACCCTCTCGTCCCCTATCGTTCTATCTCCCATTCTCTCACCACTCACTTCGTCGTCATGCGAATAACTGCGTCACTATGAGTGCGCGACATAGTCCTCTTTACAGTATCGACAGCTAGGTCATCAGTTTTCCTGTTTTTGCGCGTGAGTTTCGAGAGATTTCGTTCGATATGCGATCTGATTACATGAAGCATGTTCGGTGACTAGTAGACTGTTGATTAGTCACAGAATATAGTGCGCGCCCGCACGCCCGCATGTGCGTGCATGTGCGTAGGCGGATGGGTGTGCGTCTGCGTGTGTGTATATGCGCGCGTGTGTGGGTGTGAGTGTCGGAGTGCGCGTGCGCCCAAAGCTCGAAACGTTGTGGCTGTCTATATGCCACGTCAATCGCGCTAAGCGCTGAGAACGACAGAAAGATAAAGAAAGAGATATCCGGATATCGATGTGGACGTAGATGTAGATAGCGACAGAGACAACGACAGAGACAGCTACAGAAACAGACACGTTGACTTTGACGTTGACACTATAACATTGACAGGTATAAATATAGACATAGAAAGCGTCCTGCTACAGAATCTGTCGGACTGATAAGATTTCCCCCTCGAAGAGATTTGGAGAACGGAAGCTAAAATACTGGAGTCGTGTTCGGTACACGCCTGTGTTTGGAAGTGCTGCTTGTGAATGCTAGAGAACGCCAATACACGCTCACACAGTTCTGCGCAAATCTGTGGATCGCGTATATTTAAAATTCTTTCAGGATGTGCCGCGCACGCACAAATTCGCCATCTACTCCGCTTGCAAACTGCTACAACACGCCGAACATGAAGATGGAAACAGGCAACATTTCACAGGCAGACACGTGGGCATCTGTATAATGTATCAGACAGAGTATCCATTGCGATGTCTTGGCCTCGTGAGGAAGTCTAGTATCTGCGTTAGTGAGGCGATGCAGTCACGTGCGTGCGTGCGTGCGTGCGTGCGTGCGTGCGTGTATTTGAGTGCGTTTGTTTGCGTATATGCGCGCGCGCGTGTGTGTGTGCGTTCGCGCGCGTGTGTGTGTGTGGTGTGCGCGTGGTGTGCGTGTATACGCGCGTGTGAATTTTCGCGTATATATTTGAGTATATTATTGCGCGAGCGCGCGCGCCCGTGTGTGTGTGTGTGTGTGTGTGTGTGTGTGTGTGTGTGTGTGTGTGTGTGTGTGTGTGTGTGTGTGTGCGGCAGTGTGTCGTGTGTCGAAGTGTGTGCCAGCGTATTCTGTTTCTTACATATCAGGCGCCCATGCGTGCTATACCCGCCGTGTCTATATCCCCTACCGTGTTATACCCCCACCTGTGCCTGTACCCCGCGCTATGCTATAACCCTTACGTGTTCATAACCCACCATGCTATAACCCCACCTGTGCCTATACCTCCCACATGCTACACCCTGCGTGTTATATATCGCGGTGTCTATACCTTCTTTGCCGTATAATATATCACCTGTTTTTATATAGCCCACCGCCGGTCATACCCGCTGTAGCGTATAACCACCAGGCTGTCCAACACGTATCTATACCATCGCGCGGCTATTACTCCGTCGTGCTATACCCTGCCGTGCTATGCCCGCGTTCTATACCCCGCCGTATAGCCCCCATCGCCGTGCTATAACCGCCCGCCGTGCCTATGCCGCCGTGCTATACCGCCGCGTGCTACTACACCCGCGCCACCGTCGCCTGGTTATCCCCCGGCAGGCCAGGGTTCTATAACCCCGGCCCGTTGCTATACACCTCCGTGCTGTCTATGGCCCCGCCGTGTATATCCCCGCCGTGCTATATACCCGCCGGCGCGTCTAATCCGCCGCTGCTCATACCCTGCCGTGATATGCCCTCGCCGATTCTATGCGCGCCATTCATAACCCGGACAAGGCGCGTAGACTCTCCACCCAGGCGCCTCCCCACCATCCCTCCTGCTGTGGTGATCTAGATCAGCTAGCAGGCCTAGCAGCCAGCACGCCAGCCCAGAGACTGAGTGTGTTCGTGTGTGGTGTGTTGTGCGTGCGTGCGCTGCGTGGCGATGCGTGCGTGCGTGCGCGGCCAGTGTGTGTGTATATGTGATTGCGCGCGTGCGTGCCTGCCGTGTGTCGTGTGGGCGCGCGTGTGTGTCGCTGCGTGCACGGGCGCGCGCGCGTGTTGTGAGCGCTGCTGCTCAGGCGACAAGCTGGTGGCGAAAAACTCGCCGCGTTCCACATATCAATCAGCGGCGATTTATAAATGGATGGCGGCCGAGGCAACAACGAGGCGGACGTCTACGCCTTATCGCCAGCCTTATCGTGCGCCCTACGCGCGAAGAGTATGTCACGTAGTACGGAGAAACGCTACACGGCCGGCCGCGATAAGCAGCATAGTGCGCTGATCGGTAGCTACGCAGGTCGACGCGGTAGCCATCGTATAGCGGCTGGTGCCCTGCGCCGGCACGCGATTTTC